TTCTGATTAAAACAGACTGTTTTATAACTTGCAATGCAGTATATCTCATAAAAATCTCCTTAGGCTCTCTGAGTCTGAGGCATTTTTTGGTGGAATCACCATAAAAATGCAGATATTTGCAATGATGCACAAATATAAAGAACTGCAGAAGTAAGACATTGCTAATGCTTTTTAGGGGTAGTTGTGGGTCAGTTCTATGATGCAGTAGACAGCTAATGGGAAGATTCACAGCCCAGGGTCCATTTGTATTTTCTATGGAGTTCAACTCTCTATGGAGTACCACTTGCAAAGACAAAAAAACAAAACAAAACTGCACCATTCTATTCATATGTAACTATCTTTTCTAAAGTATGAAATCTAAAAAAAATAAAATGATTGTGTAACTTTTACAAAAATACAGGTTTGTATATGGTGGTAAATTTAAAGATATATTTTGCAAAACATTATGTTTTTTTCAATTACATGTATAATTAATGTTTTACTGCTTTTCAAAGTCCCTTGCAGTCCATTCTATATTAGGCTATGGTATTGTGTACACTGTAATGTTTTGTTAATTCAATTAAAAATACTTAATCATGTTTAAAAAATTGAAACAGCAGTGGACTCGTAAAGTTTATAAAAGTAAACTTTTGTCCAGAAAGTTTTAGCATTGGAATTTACATAAACGGAACTTTGAAATGATTTTTTAAGATTCTAACTGTGTGATCAGGAACAGAGGTCAAAGCCCAGTTGTTTGTCCTCGGGGACTTTACTTATTTCTTCAGTCAGAAATATGAAGTATCACCTCTATCTCAAATGAACAACAGTACACATCAGAACTATCAGGCTATTTGTCAGGATTCTAGTTTATTTTCAGAAGATCACACAGAGTGACAGAGTGACAGTTTAGACTGATTTACCCTTGAACCACAGAAAGGGAGAAGTAGATTGGTTGTGGCAATGCAGTCCCTTACATGATTTCACAGTGAGTGAAGGACCATTCATTTTCTCTGCTGGCATAGAAGAAATAAACCTATTGATTTATTTTATTTATTAAAAAAAACAAATACACACAGCATATCTGTGCTTTGTATTGTTGCACTCTTTATATACATTTTATGAAACTAATGTCAGAGAAATCTATTTGACAGATAAACTTCAAGCTCTAGACGGATAAAATTCAGCTGTACAGAAATTATCTTGATTTCTGTAAATCCTATTTTTTGTTCTTCCTGCACTAAATAAATTGAATTGTAATGTATAATTTATAGACTTTTTATTTAGGAAGTTGCCAGTAATTTAAGAACATTTAGAAAACTGCTGTACAATGGGTACCTTGGTAAGCAACAGAATTACCAATGCATGTAAATGTTTTCATTATATTGAAAAATATTGGTTTACCAGATTTTTTCCATATGAGCATCAGTTTATTTTTTTAAAATCTAAGCTAATATATATTTATGTGTTAATTTAATTAAAATAATATGAAGTATCCCTAAATGGTTCATTTTTATAACACATTTATTTAATAAATATTTATTTCACTTCATTTCTTGAGTATTGATTACAAATAAATGCAGAAGTAATTTATTCTTGACAGCAATGCATTCAATGAAAACATTTTGTGCAAGAATGGGGATTATTGTCTTATTTAAGAAATGCACCATACTATACCAGTTTAAATACAAAAATATATGTAATATATTAATGCATGTTTTTAGTATTTTGTGAAAATCTTAATTCCATGGGAACAACAATAAACAATTTATAAGTACATTTATATATAATGGTAATGTGAGAAATTCAAATTTGTAATGTTTCATCTCAGTTTAGCTCCTTTGAAGTTTCAGGATTAAAAAGTCAAAGCATCAAGATAAGAATCTATTGCCTTTGTATAGTTATTGCTATTACTGAATTCTAGTATGCTGTAAGGAAAAGGTGCATTTTATAAATGTTTAGATATGTTCCATCTTATAATAATAATAAACTTTATTTTATATAGCGCCTTTAAAGGTGGCTTCTCAGAGCGCTCATAACCTCATAATAGATATAGAACAAATTACCCTCTGTTATATTTCTAAGTTAATATGTTAATAAATCAAATTGTTAAGGTTTTTTTAATATTTACATGTTGTTTGCATTATCAAAACTAAACTCTATAGAGAGGGATTCAAATACTATTATTAAGGAATTAAGAACTATACACCCCATTATGGTAACAATACATGATCTCTTTATTTCAGTGTACATTCTATCATTTGATTCAGTGATTACATTTATAATGAATCATGTATTTAATAATTATACTTAGCAATTTTTCATTTATTCAAATACACTTTATATAAGGACAGATGTGTGTTTTCATGGAGGTATCATGAAAATGTGTATAGTTAAAATGTAAATTAGAAAACCTAACTTAAAAATAGATTTTTTAAGCCAAATCACATATTTCTCTTGCACAATAAAGTGATGTGAAAACAAATGTGAGTTTATACAGCAAGGGACTCATTACAGTTGTCTTCTTTTCACTACAGTTCAAGAAGTAAATAATTAAGAAAACTTAGTGGATGTAGATTCACACATTTAAAATAGCATTTAAATTTGAATTATTTTTGGGAAGTTTTCTGAAAACTATACTAATTATACGTTTTGTTGAGAGGAGTCAGCTACTAATATGTCTAAACAACAATGTCATGATGCAACAATTACAATTGGTGTTTGGTAAGATTGTATAGAAAATCTGCCGTTATATTGCATCACTGCTTCAAAAATTAAAGACACATTTAAAACAAGTATGTGGCAACTCCAATAATATACATTTACCTGAAAGTCCTCATGTGTATTTTTATTAACAATGTCATCTATGGAAATCTTTTGCTGGGATTACAAGCAAGTGCTTATATTAATTGCACTCTTTGTCATGCTGTATTTGTCACAACATGTGAGGTGAAGGTGCCCCAGGTGAGCATTACCATGTTTTAATTTACTGTCCGAGACAGTGTTGAAGATTCTTTCTACAAGAATGCCATACTGGAAATACAATCTTAACTAATCCTAACTAATACACTGATTTCTAATTTCCAAACTGATTTCAAACTGATTTCTTAGTTGAGCTTTTCAATTAGCTATCTTTAATTAACATTAATCATAATCTGCAAATTCCTGATTAAAAAATCTCAATACACAAGCAGCCAGTGTGAATAGTAAATCTATATCATTTATCAATTAATTATATATTGGAACAAAATAATATTACCACTTAATAATCACTTGCAACAAATGTACAAAGCCACGATCATAAAAATGACAAATTGGGACATTCTGGTTTCTTATTATATTTTTCTTACATGATTTTCATTGGGCTTAACATTCAGCTTGTTTAATCATGTCATTGCCTATGTCCAGCTAAGAGTAGTGCAGGGTGAAAGACGTTGACATGTTTGGAGAGTGTAATGTTTACATTTAAACATTAGATCCCTGATTCTGTAGTTTACATTGCCTATGGAGTTTCAGAAAACCTTCAGAATTATATTCACTGATAGTTATGCAGCCTAAAATGGGTGTATAGACAGCAACTTTACTACTACTTATATTCCACTTAATATGAAGGTATTTTTTTATCATGTATACAGTAAAAGGCATTGAAAATGACAAAACATTATATTTATGCCAATATGCTACTCATATGTTGTGTTTTTAATGCCAGTATACATGTATGCATTGGTTTAAAAATACACCAAAAGTGAACAGTTGGTCAAAAGACAGCCAGTTGTTTACATATTTTTTACTCTGATTGTACTGTTGTGCATCTGCCTTTATCTTAAATTTGCTGAGTGATTTTGCATATAGAGTAAATGGATAATGTAGAGCAGACATGCTGCAAAAAAGGACAAAAATATGTGATGACATACCAATTAATGAAATCTTTTCAATCACTACTTGCCATGACAATAAGTTGTAAGACCCTGACTTACATGCCAAATTTATTCATATTATTTTTAAAAGTCTGTATATTTTTTTGCTTTATCTCTGTATTATATGACATTCAAAAATAATATGGCTGATTTTCAGTCTCTGTTGATAAATGTTTTTGCCATCCTACTGGAAGACAGCAGTGTCGGAGCATGTTACCTTAGTACTGTAGGTATAACATACACAAGCATTGAAAGCAGTTGGCAGCTTTCCAAATTCAAGAGAGTACAGCAGTGAAGTTTTAAGAATTGACATAAGAGTAAAAATCATAAAGCAAATACTAATGTGCTCATTTATTTATGATTGAGAATTACATTTAAACTGCATTATTCTGCTATGTAAAATTCTGAATGTGTCTTTAGTATCAATGACTAGGTATTATATTGTTTGCCTTGGAAATTATTAATATTTACAATTAAAAGATTATAGTTAAGTGATTTATTTAATTTTAAAAACAGTCTTTAAAAGATGCATATAAATGATGTGTTATTTACACAAAGTTGTCAATAATTCTTTTCAATTTACTGTAATCCAGAGACTGTAAAAAGATAACTATAGCAGATATTTTTATTAAAACCTGAAAATGATATATATATAATATATAATTGTGTGTATATATTAAATTTCTGTACAATAACAATCTGTTTATTTCTCATGCATTTAATGTTCCAAACATATTGTTAATGTATGTTGTTCTTACAATGAGGTAATATATATTTTATTATTTTATATGTACTGTTTACCTTTTCAAAATGTAATGATAAAATAAAAGTAAACATGCATATTTATCTATTGTTTCTAGCAGACACTGTCTTGAAAAGCAAGAAAAAGAAACATGTCACTCACACAGCCACCCACAAGCATATACAGCAACACACAACAGTGAAGGTGTTGTTATGAACATGATGGGAAGGTATTAGCAAATGAATCCTGTTTTGCAGTTCTAGTCCATAAAAGCAATGTGTTGCTTCTATGTCAGAAGTTAATGAATTTGAAATTTCTTGCATTTTCAGCCTTGAAAGTGACCTGCAGAATCTTTTCTTTTGTAGCCATTTCGCAGAGTGACGTTTTCTGTGGTGAGCCAGCCTCAGGACCCACATCAGGGATCATTGCAGAGTTGCTATGATAGTGGATTGGAAGAATCAGAGACGCCCAGCAGTAAGAGCTCATCAGGTCCCAGACTGGGAGCCCTTCCCCTCCCTGAGGACAACTATGAGAGGACTACGCCGGATGGCAGTGTTGGTGAGGCAGAGCATATGGAAAATGGTAGGGGCAAACACAATCAGACACACATGAATCACGACACCAAGGAACACTAATACCCAGTATTATAGTTAGGTACAATTAGTTAGGTTTTTATTTTACTTTAGAGCCATGAAAAGGAACTGAATTGTTTCTCCTATCTATTTTGCAATGTGTACAATATGTGTGTGAAAAAAAACTTCCTTAATAGAAAATGATCCGTGTTATTATTTGATTACTTGTATCAGTTAATATAATTAACAGTTATGCAACCGTATTATTTATATTGTTTATTTTTTTAAATCTGAAAGCATCCTTTGATACTTAGTATTTGTAAGGAATGGTGTCAGGAAATGGCCCTTTATTGATAGCATCCACATATTCTTATATGGCCATTCATATTATAGTCTTTCTAAGTTAGGATAGCATCTATATTTTTATCCATTAATTAATGATTGAGTACATTTGTTAGAATTCATTGTGGGATACATAATGTGGTTTTTAGTAACTACCACTGCTCAAAGCTCAAAAATGGAAACGGAAATACATTTCAGTTACTGTGAAATACTTTTATTTATACTGGTGAAATAACCTAGTTGTTATGAGATCTTCGAAAATAATGGTAAGAATATGAATGATTCAATGATCATACCTTTTAGGAATGTTTTCCAGGCTTGTGTGATTTGAAAGTGTTCATTTGTAACAGAAGTTAGTAGGATCTATGCAGAATGTTTAGTGTAGATTGATGTTGATTTATTCAGAAATGACTTTGTGGATCAGGTTGTCATGGATCACTAGGGGCAACGTGTCCTTCAAAGAGTGAGCACCTTTCTTTGGGTTGCTGGAAAACTCAGATCTTCAAAGACAATACCTAAATTATGGCTTAAATTGGGGGCATTCATTAGATTATAATGACCGCTCCTCTTTGTTAAAGACATATTGACCCAAAAAGGTAAATTGTTCTTTGTTATAAAGAAATTGACAAGGCATTCTTACAGAAGGAATCAAGATGACATTTGTGTATATTCCTGATATTTGTTTTCTAACCCACATTGCCCTAGTGTGGTTTGACTGGTAATTTATCTAGTAAACATTTTCTGAGTAACTCAAATATAGTGGCACAATTTACATTACATTAATTCTATATTGAAAGATATTTTGTTATAATAGAATTTGTGCTTCATGTATAAGTATACAATGCTGGGAAGTATTAAAATCCCACAAATTACAGGTGGATCCAGTAACATTTGACTGTCTTTTTTTATGCTATTTATGCCTTCATCAAAGAAACGTATCATGTATAATTGGAATTATTACACATAATAAAACACATGCACTGACAATTTATTGAACAATAATGACATAGGTGAATTTATTATGCTGATTAAAATTTATCAACAGCATTGATCAGCAGGGGATCACAGGTTAACAATATATGTGGCCACCACTGGAAGCCATACAAGATTTGCATCTTTAATGCACACTTTTTACTTGATTGTGGATTGTGTCTTTTAATATTCTTTTTTTAACATTATTCTTATTGCTTTCTTTATTGATATACACAACAACTATAAAGAAAAAAACATACAAAGATAAAAAATATCAAATCTATAAAGGTTCAAATGGAATGATTTAACCCTGTATGCTGAGCATAACCCAGCATAACCAAAAACCCAATACATTATGTTTAACTCAACTGCTTTTATTATTCACAGTTGAGTTGAGGTTAACATGAAGGTAACATAAGTCATATTTTTTTTCCGGTGACACATAAAAGGTGAACCACGCGGAGGAGCTTGGGTGTATACTGCATTTTCTGTTAAGAGCTATACATTTATTAGCAGCAATTAATGCCATTTTAATTAATTTAATGATGAGTAAGTCCCTCCAGTGCATGAAAGCTTTATATTTAATTCTACTGGATTAACAGGCCTGACCTGTAAGTATGGAAATATGCAGGATATAAGTTATATTTCAGATTCAGCTAATCAAATTTGTATGATCCCATCTCTTAATATCTCTGGAAGTTCAGGATTATTGTGAAATGGATGTTGCTGTATAGGTTGTAAGATATTGGTATTGAAAGAGTCTGGAAGAGATAAAGAAACTTTGTATCAATATTTGTATTAGTAAAAGCAAGGAAGTCTGAATCATTAAGTAGATGAATACTAGATCCCCATCATTTGTACTCCCCAAGACACAGTGACTATCAAAAGTAGTAATGGGGACTGATCTGACATGATAAGCTAAATAGTTTTCTTAAAGCAGTAAACTTGTTTCTCCTCTTGTGTAGCACAGTAGACATATCTCTTAAGATTATTATAGATTAATTTTCTTATTTCAACTTGCCTTTAATTTTAGCTGCTATAACAATTTTCTCAGTGTCCTGAAAGCAAAGCAGGCAAATTGTTAATGCCCAGGGTTTCTTTTATTTTGTTGGTAGGGGGTGAAGAGTACCACTGCACCTCTTATTTTCAAATTGCCAAACATCCTTAATTCCCAGGATTTTCAGTAGCCATTTCTGCAAAAAAACACAATGTCATTGTTGCTCTCAACCCCCACAGAAAACCTCACAAGAGGTAGATATTTACATCGTGCCCTGTTTTCCGTATCATCTAGTTCCTCCCTTAAATCCTTAATTATCTCCTCTTTGTCTTTTTTGTAGTTGTCAATATCTTTATGTAGGGTGCCCAATGGAGTTTTGTATGCTGTTTATTTGATTACTCTGAAAGCTTATTGTTTATAGTTTCATCATATAGCTTTTCATGAATTTCGCCTTTCTCCATGTTTGATAAAAACCACACTGAAGGTGAGCTATCTAATGGTGACTGTTCTCTGAACATAATGTGCTCTCCTATCAAAGGTGTTTCTTTTTTCTTGGTGGCATTTTCCATAATCAGAGGTAAAAGAGGTTTAGCCATAATTTTATAGTCTATTAAACCCCTTTAAAAGAATATTATTATTTTAAATACAGATCCCGCCATTCTAAATGAGCGAGGTACGGTGCGTTAAAATGCAGTGGGTATACTATGCCACATGTTAATTGAAATATGATAATAGTATCCGGAAGCACCTTAGCTTAGCTAAAGCTTAGCGTCTCATGTACAGCATTTGAGCTGTTGCCAGAAAACGCCTGGTTTCGAATCCCGGTCTCTGTGGGGGACAGTCTTTTTCCAATTAAGAATTTAAGTTGTATACTCTTTAGACTTTTAATAACTGTGTATTACAGCATGTTATACATTAAACGTTAAAAAGTCAGTATATTTTATAAAAGCAAGATTGCTCAGTTGGACAAAAGTACACAACCATCCACCGTCATCATAAATAATTTAATTATGCATAAATATTTTATGCATCAAAGTCTTTAACTTGGTAACTTACAGTGGATTCTGGTTTAAAAATGCTTGTTCTAATGTTATTAAGCTTATATTCTGTACTTCATAAAAAGTTATAACGTTTTATCCTTTTCTAAGAATACGTAATAAGAACACCACTTGCTATTATTGTAAAAAGATCAATGTTGTAGTTATTTAACATCACCTGATTGTTATATGAATATGGAATCGTGTAACTAAGCAGCTATAATATACAATAGTAATTGGACAATTTGGAAAAATTTTGACATTCGTTTCTTTTTTTAAAAAAAAACTTCTGTTGTCCTTGTAGTGGTAATTAGCACTGTAATGTAGTGAGCTGCACCCAGGCGTTTCAAAATGCAATCGGAGCATTACTTTCAGTTTGTTTCTCATATAGCCGAATGCATAAAAATAGTCTACTATTATAGCTTATTGTGAACACGATGTGTCTCTTTCAGGTTTACACCCGAATTTAGAAAATCTATATTTCGTCTTAATCCAAATGTCAGCAGCCAGTAATGAGCCAACAATTTAACTTGGAATTTAAAAATTTGTGAACATTTTGACATCCATTTCTTTTTAAAAAACTTTTATTGTACTTGTAGTGGTAATGGATAAAGCACTGCACCCAATGGTTCAAAGCACAATCAGAGTATTACATTCGGTTTGTTTCTTATATAGTGAATACATAAAAATAGTCCACTATTATAGCTTGTTGTTGGCTCTGGCGTGAATTTGTGTATCTGGATAAATTAAGTAATGGTATTGTGATTAAGGATTTCTTCACAACATTCTTTACTTCAAGAGTTTTCAAGAACAACGGAGGGAAGAAGGGTTATTTTTACAATAGGCACACTGAGATTCTGACTGATTTAATTCCCTTCATTTAGCTGAAACGGATAAAGGAATCATGCAGTATGTATTGGAAGGGGCTCTGTTTTATTAACAGACACTCCGACTCAAACCTGTGTTGTACAGTGATATAGACGTGGGTAATGTCATCCTCATTAAACAATGTGCTTATCACGCAAATCCTGCTAAATTAGAAGCATTGCAGAAGGTGATAAATTGTACATTATTTACTGGAGCGCAGTTTAATTCAAAGAAAAAAGCCCCCCTGTTTATTGGTACCAAACATTGATGAGACATCACAGTTCTGTACAGATTAAAGAAAAGCGGTCAAGGACCGATGCACTGTTCCCATTTGTAACATGGTTACTCCCTGGAAATTAGTTCCTTTTAACTAGGAGTTTGTAATGTCAGGCGCTCTGAATGAGTTAAGCTTTGATGCAGTATAAATAAATGTATTTTCCACAAGCTATACTGTACTGACTTTAAACCTATACAACATTGCGCTGTTTGCATGTAGCATGTCTTTGTTCAAGTTTTAAAACCACAGTATGGAAAAAATAGTGTTAAGAAAAAACAGTACATTTGATTGCTGGTTACCTTATGTTAACAGAGCATCCTACTAAAAATTTCTTCCCATCCCCCAAGCAGAACTGTCTATTCTACATAAACACAGCGGGGTGTAACACACCTAGCCTTTGTGAGAAGTACGGAGCTGTGTTACATAAGTTGGCTGCAATGGAATATACTAGTAGGTATAAGGTAATTCCTAGCTGGAAAGAAAAGGCACGATGTGTCTCCTCTATAAATCTTCAATTT